ATATTAAAATGCATATAACATTTAATCCACTTTACATTTCTACCTATTTCTGGTCATCTCCCTTATACTGGAACGCTTGTATTGCAAAAAATTACATAAATACAATGGATAAATTTAAAATTTTAAAATAATTACAGAATGTGTTTGCATGTTTTTAAAAATCACCATCACAACAGAATGCAGATCTTATCACAGTTAAGAAGTTTATCTTTGTAATTTATTCCTGAAGATGATCTTGGAAAAGATTGAAAGTACTTGGGTTAACAAAACCTATGGCAACTTCCTTGATGAATTTCATCTTTCTTTCATCAAGAAACTGAAAAGGTTCAGTATAAAAATAAGTAGACATAATATGTCTATATTATTCAATGAAACCTACTTGAATTTATACCATAATTCCCCATGTATAATACGCATTTTTTCTAAAAAATAATAAGAAAAATCAGGGGTGCATATTATACACAGCTACAAAAAAATTGCCGTAAAATAAAATAAGAATTATCATAAAAGTAAACTAGAATAATATTATTCTATGTTTAGAATAATTTTTTTTAAATAAGAGTAGAAAATGCTGACCATAAAGAAATTGGAGAAAACATTTTGTAGAGTTTGATTACCAAACAAGGGGTATATATTATGTATGAGTAGAGGCATTTTCCCCCCACACTTTTAGCACAATTTTAGGTGTGTGTATTATGGATGAAGGCATATTATACATGGGGAATTACAGTGTGTGTGTGTGTGTGTGTGTATATATATATATATATATATATATATATATATATATATATGTATATGTATATGTATAGAAAGAAAGAAAGAAAGAAAGAAAGAAAGAGTGAGTGAGAGGGAAGGGTGACAAAGATATTTAAACAGTAAGTAATAAAGTGGTATGTTGTATAAAAATTATAGCAAAATATATATATTATATAAACTTATAAACATACAACATAATTGTATAATAATGTATTTTTAGAAGAAATAGAAAAAGAGAGGCATATTATTTTCATAATTCACAATAGGTAATTAATAAAATCATAATGATAAACATGTGAGAATTACATTTGTATTATTTAATTAATATTACAAACTAAAAATAGTAAAAGTTATGCACATAAGATAACACGAAGGTGGTTTTATTATTTTTAATACTGATATATCATGACCTTTAAAACTAAAATTTCTTTTAGATTAACAAGTTATAAGAAATACAATTTTGAAAAAATATGTGATTCCTACCAGCCATTCAATGATGTTTTTAACAAAGACATATCACAAAAATGGTTATAAATTATATTTTTGATAAAATAAAAATAATTCTTAATGTCTTTCATATTTAAAGCATATTAAAATTATAATAGAAAATATAAAATAAGCAAAATTGAGTAAAATGTAAATATTTGATTATGGAATAAAAAAATAAAAAATACTGATTATTAGCATAAAATGTTAAACAATTTTAAAAGTTTTACTAAAATAATAATTGTTTAAAAAAAATAATCACTTCAGCTATACTTAAATGTGTATATATCATCAATTACCTACCAGTGAAAATATATGAATACTTTATAATTCAGAGCATGTATGCAAGTATTTATCTTATCTTTCTGTTCTGTTTTTTTAAATCATTTCACCTCAAGTGTAACAATAAAGCAAAGGGTTTACTCAGTCTGAGAGAATATGAGGAACAAAAACATTAATAATGGGTGAGAAAAATAAAAGAACAGGAATTAAGAAAATGGAAGATAATAATTGGCATTGCATTTAAATTTTTGAAGATTAAAGTTGACTGGGAAGCCAGAAGAGAGTTGCGCAAGTGAGAAGAAACTGTTAGCATAGAACTTATGGTCACCTTTAGCCATTTCAACTGTAAATGGATGAGACCTTGCTGCCAATCTAGTAGTCTTGGTACCAAAGAAGAAAGCTTATCAGGACATTTACAATGAAAATATTTATAGAAAAAGTAATCAGTTATGGTAAGACAATATATACTAGAAACTAAATGGGAAATGACTTTAGTTAAAAAATAGGAAATGACTTTTGTTAAAAAATGGTAAATGACTTTAGTTAAAAAATGGGAAATGACTTTAGTTAAAAAATGAACAGTCATTAACATATATCATCATTTTTCTTTATAACTTGTACTGATTTTTGAGGATTTGACTTAAACAATTTTGATTTAAAACAAGAAATTGTTTTTAAGAAAAGTTGCTTAAATCAATTACTAAAATCTTATTCATAAAACTATAGTATTACAAAAAAATAAAATGGTGCATTACAAAAAGAAATGATAAGACCTTTCTACCAATCTAGTACTGCACTTTAATTCATAGGGTCTAGGTACCAAAGAGGAAAGCTCATCAGAGCAATTACCATAAAAATATTTACTAAAAATGCAAACTAATTATACATATATATGAGATTGGATTCTATGTTTTCATGTATAAGTAAATCATATTATGCATTTTAAAACATTTTAAGATAATGTTGTATATGTCTATATGCCTTATTCTAAGCATATAACATATATTTATATACATCATTGTTTCTATATGAATATATGCATGAATTTATACATTATGTTTTATACATACATATGCACATGGATTCAGTATGAATAGAAAAATGTATATGACATGAGGCATATATATATATATATATATATATATATATATATATATATATATATATATATATATATATTATGGAATGGACAAAGTCCGATAATTATTTTTAAGAAATTTTTTATGTTTATACATTCTTTTTATAGATACAAATATTTAAGTAAATTCTCTGTTTATAATAAACAGTATTAACAACATTTACTAGCCTGAATGTTCAAGAAATTTTCATAGAAAATATGCATCTTCTGACAGGAATCAAACCTGTATCCTATACGGAACCTTCATATAGCCTGATGTGGTCTTAACTGATTGGGCCACAGAGGAGTGTTTGGTTAGCAATCATGTGGCCCAATTGGTTAAGGAACATCAGGCTATATGATGGTTCTGTATAGGATACAGGTTCAATTCCTGTCAGAGGACGCATATTTTCTATGAAAATTTCTTGGACATTCAGGCTGGTAAATGTTGTTAATACTGTTTATTATAAACAGAGCATTTACTTAAATATTTGTATCTATAAAAAGAACGTATAAACATAAAAAAATGTCTTAAATATATATATATATATATATATATATATATATATAGTAGTATACAAGTCATGGATATACATGTAATCTATACATACTTATTGGTGGACAATATAATAAAATGTTTGAGAGAAATTGAGTGAGTACTTACTTGAATTTATTTGAGTGTGCTTTACAAATATACGTTTTATAAAACAATATAATACTATACTGTACACACACACACACACACACACTTAGACTCATATGCACAAACATATATATGAAAGAAGACAAAAGGAAAAATTTTTATCAATGTGTTTTGTCCTCTGATGAATTTTATTAAGGTTGTCTTTATTCATTGTCTATTTTTTACAGATATATTTTTAATTGTATCTGAATTTTTAACACACATGCACATAAATATATATATATATATACATATATATATATATATATATATATATATATATATATATATATATATATATATTGCACATATATAGGCAGCATGTTTTCATTAAGATATGTCTCATTACATAATTTAGACAAGTTTTGTCTACTTATTTTTAATATGATCCTCCCATATTCATGAACAAGCGTCTTAGTATCCTTATTAAAGGAAGAAAGAAAGTTACTATATTGATGCATATTCATTTATTCCGAGTTGCAAAAATATCATCTTCAGAATGTTGTTTTATTAGGGTCTTGTTGTATCTAAGACTAATTTGTTGTGTTTATCTGAAAATGAAATCAATATGGTACCTTTCTATTTTCCTTTAATAAGGATACTAAAAAGCTTGGATTTTTCCTGGTTCCTCAGATCAAATTTCCAAGCATATCAACATGCTATTATAAAATCCAAATCCAAATTTACCTTATCAGAATAGCTATTTCAACCAACAAGTCCTATGTTGGCATTTTCAACATTTAATAATTTATATTATTAGGATTCACTTGAATTATAGAGAGAGAGAGAGAGAGAGAGAGAGAGAGAAAAAGAGAGAGAGAGAGACACACACACACATATATTCTTTAGTACAGTAAACTCCACCACTAGTACATTATAAGTTTTCGTTTTAAATTTCTTTCTTTCTGAATTTCTTTGTTTTGATTTAATTTAATTTTATAATTTTAATGTACAGAAAATCCTACCTACATCATGAATATTTTTTTAAATGGTAGCAAATAAAAATAGTAGAAGATATACCAATTAGCTCAATTTGTTTGCACTAATACACAGTCATATACTAGCTTGTCACTTAATAGATTTCCTTACCAGAAAGTAAGCTCTAATCTTTCTTTATAGATTTTACCTGAAGAAGGTTGTAGAACACATCAACCAAAATGGTATGATGAAAACAAAAGTTAAAAATTAAAAATAAAAAAAATAAAAAATAAGAAAATAAAATATAAAATAAAAATATAAAAATATAAAATAAAAATAAAAAATAAAAAAGTAATAAAAGTAAAAAATAAAATAAAAAATAATAAAAAATTAAAAATTAAAATAAAAATAAAATAAAAAATAAAATAAAAAATAAAACTAAGAAATCAAAATAAAATAAAATAAAAACTAAAAAATAATATAAAAAATAAAAATAATAAAAATAAAACTAGGAGCTTCTCCAAATGACTTTTAATTGATAATGATTCTTCTCAAAATTATAGAAGATGAAACTCATATTATTATTAATTATGGCAGTCAAACCTGTCATTTCTTTAGCGAAACTATAAAAACCAAGATAATACATGGTAATAAGAAGCAATGACAATTATACTGAAATCTCAGGTAGATTTGAGTTGATTACATATGTATTAACATTTAATATTTGTATATTATGTGCATGTGTTTGTATGTGTGAATTTAGGAAAGGACAAAGAAAGAAAGAAAGAAAGAGAGAGAAAGAGAGATAGAATGAGAGAGAGAAAGTGAGAGAAACAAACTTGCATACAAATCTGAAAAATATAATTGCAGGTAATCAAGATCCAATTAACAAACAATAGTCACAGATGATTTTGTTTATTGTATTATAACACTTTGATGATTATGTAAATAAATATTAAAAAAAACATTAACAAAATATTAAAAAATATAAAACATTAACAAAAATAATAACGTTATTAAATCAAATATTGATAAGCTATAAAACATGTTCTTGGTCAGAAGTTGCCTTGCCTTTTTAAGGTCTTATTATCTGACCCATAAGATTATCTGCCCCATAAAATTTTATACATATCTATAGTTGTAGTATATATTCATATCTATATGACAATGTACTTACAAATACACATGCTGATGTGCATTGTCAACTATATTTATATACATGTACTAATGTAGATATAGGAATTGGTACTAATTCAATTATTATACACACTGCAAATGTTTAATTATTGTACTTAGTGTGTATTATTGTCACTTTTATATTTTTAGAATATTTATATTAAGCTTTTGGTGTATTGTGCATATTTGTAAATATTTAATATTTTTATACATTTTGTATAAATTCGGACATACATATAAAAATATTAAATTTATGACATGGTATGTATAATCATGCAGTATGCCAAACATTGAGACTACAGTACACACTACTACAGACATGCACACTTGATTATCCATATTATTTAATTTTTATTTATACCTCTTCTTAATCTATCGCTTTTTTTTATTTTATTTTTCTATCAGATCTCAGCAAGATATATTTCTTACGAATCCACGACAAAACAAAAATCAAGCGGACAAAAACCTCTCTCTCTAGTCTCATAAAAATAAAAAGAAACAAATTTGACACTGAAATTCAAAGAACTTAATTCAAATTTTAATGTCAGATTGAGACATAATCCAATACATACAAACGGAACCAATGAAAAATTTATTTAAGTCCTTAATTCAGCATAATAATCTGTTTTCGTACGACGATCTACGTAGTTATTTTTGGGTTTTTTTTTAAACGTTTTGTCGAAAAAAAATTAGAAAAACCATTTATGGCTTTTTTTTTTTTAATAGTCAGGTTTTGTGGGATAGAAGGACTCCCTAAAATTTAAAATATATCATGTATGTGGCTAGCATTGTTAGAAAAAAAAATTAGAGGTTGGATCAATTTATTTATTAAGCAATAATTGAAAAATAGCAAACAGCAGAAAAATCAATCTTTCTTGAACTTTTGCACAAAAAAAATGTATTATTGGATATTTATTTATATTGTCTTAAACATTAAAATTTGAATTAAGATTTCCTTGAATTTTCAATGTTAAATTTGTTTCTTTTTTTATATGAGACTTTTTTATGAGACCGATTTTGTACACTTTTGGGGGGTTTGGGATGAAGAAGTGTTCTGGGGTTTTGTCTGCTAGGATTTTGCTCTGTTACCATTTTTTACAGCTAAGATTTCTTACGACTTTAATTCTAACTAGCTAACACAATTCCAAAGTATATCATTTGCATTTTTTATTTTAATTCTTAGAAATTAATAGTTTTTGAATTACTAGAATTTTCTTTTTTTCTTATTTATTACGAAACATTTTTTTTTTTCATTTTTCTTCTTAAATAATTTTAACAATCACTTTTATTTTTTATTTTTTTCTAAGACTCCTACTTTTCTTCGCCTGAATTTTGTATAGCTTTTATTTTAATGTTGTTATATCACTAAACAACTTTTACGTTCTGCATTATTCTTAGACATTTTTTACACTTCATTTGACATAACATCAACTTCTGCCGGTGCTACCATTATGTCACTTTTCATCAGGGATGAATACAGGTGCAGACTATTCCATTGTATACCGTCTCTACGGAAGTAATCATCGTGATTGGGTGTTCTGTAATACCTACCATTTAAATGTGAATCAAAACAGTTACCAAACCACCATGCCCCATGATACAAATCAGCACAGTTGTCATAGTAACGATTGTCATGGTCACGATCATGAGTACTAAAAGGCTGTTCAGTATGGCTCTCCCGAATTGAGGTCAGTGAATCCCCAGCGTTTGAAAGGTCATCGCGAAAACCACTAACATAAAGTCGGTAAAGATCTGATTCAGAGGCAACCCTTATATGAGAGTAGTATGCATGATATGAAGTTTGCGGAGAATCCCAGGTTCGGAGATCGATGTATAAGCGGGTGTCGGCTGAAAAAAAAAAAAAAAAAAAAATGAAGATGATAAATAAATAATATATTTTCATTCAAGATTAAAAAGCAAAACAAATTAAAAATTATTTTTATGTTAAAATTTGTAAATGATTATTTTCTGTAATGCCATTTTTTACATTTTTTAACAACATTTTTATTTTTTTTATATAGATACCTGAGATTGCTTTAAATAAAAAAAAAAGAGCATAGATTGAATTGAATAAAAAAAAAAGTAAAAGGGCCTTAAACTTGATAAAAATAATTTTTTATTGTTACTGGGTAAGATCAAAGTATTTTTTTGATTATTTTTTTACATTTTTTACAGTACCAAACATTAGACGCAGACTTTTACAATTTAAAAGTAAAAAAAAACAAACTTTTTTTTTTTTTTTTTTAAAGCATTTCACCCCAAGAAAGGCAGGAGGAGTGCCACTCGTATACAAGAAAGGGGCTAGAGTGAAATTAAGGGAAAATACGAAGTCACTTAGTATTTTTTTCATTCTTCTCTTCATCCTTTCCTCAAATAATTGGAGGAAAGGATGAAAAGAAGAATGAAGAAGGATAAAAAAATAAAAAAAAGAACGGTGATAAAGGCAACAGAAAATGCCGATTGACATTACATTTAAATTTTTGAAGACAGTTATCAGGGAAGTGAGTTTCATTGTCGGGAACTTACAGAAAATATTTTTAAAATCTCTTAATTTGGAAAAAAATTTTTTGTCTTCTCTCCAATTTAACACTGGTTATTATTTATTTATTTATTATTTATCTGTTTATTTTTATTTTAGTAATTTATTTGTTCTTATTATTTATTTACTTGTAACTTATTTATTATTTATTATTTATATATTTGTATTATTTTTTTTTTGAATATAAATTATTTTTTTAATTTATTTATTTTAATTAATTAATCTATATTATTTATTTAATTATAATTATTATTTATTCAGTAATGTATTTCTATTATTTAGGTACCTGTAAAGAAAAGCAATACCTAAAATTTAAAATGAATTTTTTAAAATGAAAAATCTTTTCTTGAGCCTTTTTTATTTTTAATTTCAATATAATAGTTTAGAGAAACAATTTAAATTTAATAATTCCAATAAGTAAAACACGTTGTTGTATTTCAAAATGAATTTAAATTGATTGGAATTAATTTTTTTATTATCAGCAAACACACTAAAAATCATGTATATTGACAAATCTGTCAACAAAAAGAAATTCTCTTTATTAAGAAATCTTTCAAAAATAAAATATACCTTTTCTGAAATTATTGTTTTTAAACTACAAATTTCCCATGATTTCTCTTGAATGGTCATATCTGCTTGAAGCATATCTTAACATAAACAAATGACATCATAGACTAAGTCTGACAATCATTTTAATATATTTTTTATATGTTATTTTTATAGAGACAAATATCTAAGCAAATGCTCTGTTTATAGTATTAGCAACGTTTTACCAGCTTGAATGTCTGAGAAATTTCATAGTAAAAATATGTCCTCTGACAGGAATCAAATATATTAAAATAATTGTTGGAATTAGATAACTATGAAAATATACATATAAAACCAAATACAGCATTAAAATGTTTTGAAAGAAATTAATGTCTTTTGACAGATTATTTAAATGAGGAATTCTGATTATTATATACTAGCAGTAGAGCTCGGCATTGCCCGGGGATGTTACTGTAAGAGATAGATCAAGTATCGACCATCATAAAGACTGAAAAATAAAATTGACAAAGATTATTGTTTAAGGTTGACGGACATGCATGTCTTAATTATTTTTTTTTTTTTTTTTTTATGAATTGGTCAAACCCAAACTCAAACAAAAACATTGTTTTCAATCATTATATGAGTCTACCAGTTGAATAGAATTTTATTATAAACAATTGTCTTTTAAAGCATTCTGAATGTAAAAATAAAGAAAAAAGTGTGCAAGACAATAAGAAACATTATCTGCCAAAAAAAAGTGAAGTTTTATTTGAAATCGGTTTGAAAAATAGGAAATCCGATCCATATATAAACAAAACACACACACACACACACACACACACACAAACAAACAACCAACCTGGGTTTTATAATAGGTATAACTCGATATGAGTTGTCCCCCTTTCATTAATGCCTCTTAATCGTGTTTTCAAATTGATTTTGTGCAAAAACAATTGTGTTTTTCCAATTTTTGGCACTGTCAGAACCACTGCAAGGTAATTTTACATAGTCCTGTGAAGTTTTGTTGAAATCGGTTGAAAAATGTAGGAAATCCGATCCACTATATAAACGTACAGACACACACACAACCTGGGTTTTATAATAAGTATGATTTAGGAATTTGGATTAAATTGGTCATTTTGATTGTTATAATCATAATGTTTCAGAGATGTTATACTTTCTGACTTTCTTCAGATATTTATTTTCATAGTATCATTTTTTTTTTAATCATTTCATCCCAATCAAGACAATAAAGCCATTGACACAAGAGGTTACTGAGAGTGAAAGAAACAAAGAAGACAATAATAAAAGGACAGGATTCAAGGAGATAGAGGAGGAAAATTGATATTGCATTTAAATTTTGACATGAAAGCAGGAAACTGGTAGTGATTTTCACAAGCAAAAAGTACAGAAAGAAGAAATGATTAGGATATAACTTAAAATATTGTAATTTTAAGTTATATCCTAATCATTTCTTCTTTCTGTAGCAATTTCAACATTAAATTATGAGACCTAAGTGCAAAACTAGTTCCTTAAAAATTGTCTTGCCTAGCACAGTAAACCAACTTTCTTAACAGCTGACCTAGGATTTAATGTAGTCTTTCCACATCATGTCAGCTGAGAACATTAGCCTGAGAATGCGCAATGAGTCACTTTCCTGGAGGATAGCATCAGCCATGCAGATGGAAGGCATAGAGGGGTCTGTCAGATGATTAATGGGGGAAAGTTTAGTTTTGGAGGCATTAAAATTGACAAGCCATCTTTTGCCACAGTTAACAATAGTCTTGTAGTCATTTTGTACATCAGCTGCCAGTTTGACCATGTCAGACTGATCAACCTTACTAATAAGGCAGGAGTAAATGATCATCAGTGTAGATGCCAAGCTGAGAAATGATGTCATTGGGGTGGTCGTTAAAAACAGCATAGGACCAAGGATGGAGCTCTGGGGGATACCCTCATTATTACAAAAGGATGTAGGTGAGTGGACATTCAGGATAACTTTCATTTCTGAATTAGATAGGAATGACTTGATCCACTAAAACTTTTCAGCTGGTGGAGAAGACTTTTCAAGACATCTAGTGCTTGGTCTGGGCTTCACCATTTTTATCTAGAGCATGAGAGACTCTTTCTGCAATTATTGTTAGTACATCAGCAGTTGACCTGGAAAAACAAAAGCGATATTGCTTGTCTGAGAAAAGGCTCTGTGATGAGAGAGGATGAACTGATTCAACATTTATTAGAGCCTTTAGGAGCTTCCCAAAAAGAAGTAAAAGTCTGATCATTGAATGGGTCAGATGGTTCACCAGAGTTCTTAAAAACTGGAACAGACAATGACTTCCAGAAAGCAGGAAAGCAGGAGGCAGTGAAGAATTTAGAGAGAACAGGAGCCAGTTTGGGAGCACACTTCTTAATGATTATTACAGGGATAGCATCAGGTTCACATGCTTTGTAGAGATCCAGGTTAGAGATGGTAGCAGAAACCATGGAAGGAACTATATGCATATCACTCAACAGAGACTAAATTCTAAGTAGAAAGTAAGACATGGATACTCCAGATGAGTCAAGAGTAGAGTCTGAGGAGAATTTACAGGCAAAGCATTCAGCCTTATCAACAGAGAATTATAACACCACAAATCAATAGAAGAGGTGGGGATAGAGACCTTGCATTTATTTAGTACCCTATTACAGAGATACCATATAACTATGAGAGCCAACGTGGTGTGTCATTCTCTCAGCAAAGAGGGACTTAGCTCCTTCGAGAACTTCTTAAATTTGTTACAGGCAGTATCAAATAGGCCCCCTGTTATGACAAGAGTTGTCATGCTGGTATAGCCATAAATATTAGTTCTTGTGTACTCTGGTGGCCGAGCATTTTGGTATGAATCATGGAGAGGATTGTAGTTTCACCCGTTCTTTCCAAGAATGGAGAAAAGTGCCCATGCTAGCTTTGACCCAAGAAGAAACCTCAGTGGTGCAATTTTCAGTTGGGAAGTTGAAGATGTCAGTCCAAGGAATGTCACGAAGAAAACCCCAGAATTAGTTCCAATCAGAATGCTGGTAATGGAAAGAGATCTTATGGATAGGAGGTTCCTGTTTAACAGATGCATGGAAGGAGATATCAAGAGCTACTACAGAGTGATCTGAGTTACCCAGAGGGCAGTATAGTGAAGCTCAGCAAAAACAAGTAGAAGAGGTAAGAAATAGATCCAGTAGAGTAGCCTGTTGTTTGGTTTGACTAGAGAAACAAGTAGGGAAGTCCATGATTTGAGTGAGGGATTGGGCAATGGAAAAATTTAATATCTGTAATATACCAGTAACATCAGTACCTTTAGAATGTTTCAGCCATGTGTTGTGGTGAGCATTAAAGTCACTGAAGACAAAAATGTTTGCAGATGGATGGAGAGAAAATCCCTTTTCTATACTGTCAGTGATTGTGTCTAATATACAGCAGTCTTGGGAAGAAGAGGAGTGATAAAGGAAAAAAAGAGTTAGCTGACAGAGTTTAGTAGCAAAAGACGGAAGCAAATGAAAAAGTAGTCAGCAGCCTCAAGAGACAATTCTCTGGCCATTGGAAGATTATCCCAGATGTAAACACCAAGACAATGCATGTGAATGCTGGAATCTTTTTGGTAAAGAGGAAGATACCTTGTAACCAAGAATTCATTGGCCACAATGGAAGAATTCAAATTGGTTTCACAAAAGGCAAAGATATCTGACAACCAATCCAGGTGGAAGAATTCTATGTTGCAGAAGTTGGAACGGAATTCTGTGCTGCAGAATT